GAAATCGCCCCAGTAGTTTTTGAGTTATTTATATATATACAAAAATGCAAAACTCTTCTCTTTATATTAGTAACTTATTACAAGTAACTTAGTAACCCCTAAACATACACTTTAATAGTGATAGAAAGTTTGTTGTAATAATTTTTCCCTTCCCACCATTTCCATGGATAGGAAGCGGATTTAGGAGGGGATGGGAAGCATAGGAAAGGAAAATATCCTATCCCATCCCCTATTAATGTAAGGCAACGCATCAACATAGATCTACGGACAGCAGTTACTAATGTTATAAATGCTTTACAATCATGGATGTATGGATGTTTTGTGGTGTATATGTGGGTATGCCAATAATAATGTACCGTCAGTATGACGAATAATAAATCAGTCCAGTACCAACCGCCGTTTCAATAACACACCTACATTACATGTTTCTTACTATTTACCTCTCAGAACAACAAACATAAGCTACTTACCCTTAAACGTCTGTCCAGTGAAATGTGTTTGCATATTTCTTAACTTTACAATGGTTAAATATATTAAATTTGAAGAAATACGGGGAATTGATTCTACTTCACGTCTGTTTACTGTTTTCTATTGCTGGAATTGAACAGATTTGTGCCATATAAATTAGGATATAATATTCATTAATGTATTTCCTTTCAGCGGAGCCCAATAAAAAAGTAACCCCAGTGACGGAGACAGATGAAGCCTTAGTTAAGTTGACGTCAGCGGAGGCTCGACTTGAAGCTGACTTAGACAAACTTACAAAGGAACTTAATTCAGCTGATTCGGATGCAAGAGCAGCACTTAAGTTGGGCAACAGACTCGCTGTGAGTATAACTTAACTAACTTGCGACGATAAGTTTTGGATTAAAAAAACAAAAGTAGTCTATGTGTTCCAGAGTATCCTCTACATCTATGACTTTAATTGAGATTTTTTTTTTATATGATATAAGATGGCAAACTCGCAAGCGGCCACCTCCACCGAAATGGAAAGCTACCGCTGCACATAAACATCCGCAATCGCAGCGCTGCCTACCCTTCATTGACGGAGACGCACATAAAGAGGTCATTTCCCCTTCCTATGCGTTTCCACAGTCAAATACACTTTTCTTTCCCATCCTTTCCTCTTAGGAAAAGGGTGACGTCTTCCGCTTGACGCCTGTTTTCTGTGTGGTCGTGGTATTGCTAAGAGCCCTGCAGTGCGAAGATGTTAAAGCGGGCTCTACCACTGTACAAATCTGTTTATTTTAGGTTATAAACTCAAAAAACATATACCTACTTTCGTGTTTATTATATTAGTAAGATTTTGATATCTCGTCAGTTTGTAAACTAACGAAATGAGATAAAAGATTATTTGGTGATAACATTTGAAATATTTAAAACATTTAAAACATATTGAAATAACTCAAAAACTACTGGGACAATTTTAAAAATTCTTTCGCCATTACAAAAAAGTACTGTGGTAGAGCCCGCTTTAACATCTTAGCACTGCGGGGCTTACCCTGTGTTACCTCGACCTCACAGAAAATAGGCAAGAAATGGAAACAATTCCGCGTTTCGTGTGATAAGTGTGGTGCCGGAGGTCTGATTTTAGTCCCTTTTCCTTTCCACCCTTTTCTTAAAAGGAAAGTATGGGAAGGAAAAGTGGATTTGACGGTGGAGAAGACGCATAAGAAGGGGAAATGGCCTCTTTATGTGCGTCTCCACCTCCGTCAATTAAGGGTAGACAGCGCATCTGCAATTGCGGATGTCTATGGGCAGCGGTCGCTTTCCATTTCGGTTGATTCAGGTGGCTGCTTGCTCGTTTGCCACCTTACATTATAAAAAGAAGCTACGTTATCAGTTAATAACATAGGCTATTCTTTTTATTATTTTTTTTAATCTCACATCGAAGTCGTGTAAAGTCTAGACAATTGTTATTCTAGGCCAAAAATCACCTACGTCGCAAACATAAAATATCCACACGAGTGCAGCGCTGCGACGCGGCGCTCGATAATGTGAGGCAACTTTTACAGCAAATGAGGGAAGTCGACTCTAACACTGCTATTGTGGACACATACAGGTAAATGTAATTGTAAAACTTGCAATGACACTTGTATACATTTTGAATACATTTTGTATATAAGTGTCATTTGTATGCATTTTTGACCGACTTCCCAAAAGAAGGAGGTACTCAATTCGTCTGTACGTTTTTGTATACAAGTGTCACTTGCGTATATTTTCTATACAAGTGTCACTTGCATATATTTTGTATACAAGTGTCACTTGCATATATTTTATATATACAAATGTCACTTGCATATATTTTGTATACAAGTGTCACTTGCATGTATTTTGTATACAAGTGTCACTTGCATATATTTTATATATACAAGTGTCACTTGCATATATTTTGTATACAAGTGTCACTTGCATATATTTTGTATACAAGTGTCACTTGCATATATTTTGTATACAAGTGTCACTTGCATGTATTTTGTATACAGGTGTCACTTGCGTAAATTTTGTATATTATTTATAAAAGATAAAAAAAACCTGGTTTTTACTGTGTTTTATAATTTTTCAGAACAAGTTCCCAAGCTATGAAGCGTACGATGAAGGAGGGTGGACTGGAAGAAGACTCAGTTTTCGATACTATGGATGAATTGAAAGAAGTAAGTGACAATCTAAGTGATATTTCCATTTATACTTGCAACTTATTCAAAAAATACCTCTAGATTACTTCAATGTTTCAAAACGAGTTATTTTCAATATGAATTTATGTACTATTTTATAGTCAGACTATTTAGTATTCTTTTATAAGAGGATGTTATCAAAACTACCATGTATCTTATAATGAACTAGTTTTAGCCCGCGATTCCGTATGCGTGGAATTTAAAAAAAACTAAAATAGGTAATTTATGTGTTCTTCCGGAATATTCTTTACAATTACGCCTAATTTCATAGAGATCCGTTCAGTAGTTTAGGCTACAAACTCTAACAAACATACATCTAAACTTTCGCATTTATAATATTAGTAAGATATTCGTAACAAATTAAGCTGGCTCATTGGTGCACTTGACTTGTAATCTACAGGTCTTGGGTTCGAATCCCGCCGTGTACCAATGTGATTTTAGATTTTTCGAATTTTCATATGTACATAAT